GAAGTGGTTTTACAGAATTTGAAGTGTTTTACGTCATTTCAAGTAACTCTAATGACCGTATCCCATTTTCGTTTCTTCATTGGTTTCACTGGTATTGTAGTATTTAAATCCAAGTGTGTTTAATATCTATAATCCACAAATTTGCAATATTGATACACTTTGTTTCTTTTTCTGTTCTCTATCAGTTTAAGACAAGAAAATCTAGACGATTTATCGCAGCAAATGAAGAGTAGAATTCGAAGGCGCCTTACGAATTACGAAACATTCTTCGTTTCACCCTCAGCTGACAATGTTAAGCCACAAAAAATCCACTTCCGTTGTTGATTAAGTCAAATCTTACCTAGTAGTGTTTGGCTGCTTAAGAAATCCGAATCTAAATTCGCTATGGACTGGAGGTAGTACTTACCTATTTGGATACTTGGATGGCCCGCGTTCACTGATTAGGCGGGCCCCAGCATAGTTTTCATTATTTCGCAGTTTTGCTGCGTTAGCCATTGTGGTTCCCGAGAGTCCCGAGTCAGACAGGCCAAGGTCTGCCCCAGGTCTTCACGATCATAGCCACTCGCCGCCCTTGTGAATCAGAGGGAGATTTGCCATCATGCGACTAGTTTGATACCAGGACGGTGGTAAATCCTGGTTTTGGTTTATTCTTAGTTGGGCTTCCTGATGGAAACGCTTAACTCCTTCTCAGCATGGGAGCTCTGCTGGCTGAATGAATCCTCCACCCTGCAGCATATATCAGCTAGGCAGCCAGGATTACCTTCCACCTACGACGAGGCAATAAACCGTTGGGAGGATGGCGATAGAACTGCGTGGATCAAGATTTCAAAGTTTTTTGTGTTCTTCAGAAACGTGAGTTAACCAAGTTTGTCTTTAAAACTGTGATTTAAGGCGATTTGAGAAAATAGCTGTGGGAAAAAAAACTGCCGATGTATGGGATTCTCCATGTGGAATTCTTTAAATCATTCAAAACTCTTGCAATCTTAAGTTGTTGAAAGCTGAGCGGCAAACTGCTGAGGCTTCTGATGATTTCGATGGCAAAACCTTCAGTTCTGAAGAGCAGGTGACTCTAAATTACATAGTGTGTGGTATCTTCTTACTTGTGAAAGCGATTCGGTAGCAAAATTCCGTAAATTTGAGCACTTTCTACTTCGCTTACTTCGGAAAATGCCTATGAAATCATAAAGGTGAGATGTTCGCGTATTGAATTCGGGCATTTGTTCCAATACAGTGACTGAGAGATTATTGAGAAGTTGAAGCACTGCATTTACTTCTGGTGCTATAAATAAATGAATGAATCTGAGTATTCAGTAAAATATTCTCCTGGTTCTATAATGTTTATAATTCGTAATATTCTCATATCTATTATCAGTATTATTGTTAGTATTAGTATTATTAATATTACTATTATTACTATTACTATTAGTATTATTACGTCAATGAGAGTTCCGAGAAAATGACAGTGCTTGGACACCACTAGTTTGGTTTAAAATCTATTGCTAGCTTTTAAATGAAATAATAATTGATAGAGTCGCGAAGTAGTTTCTTCTTTTCGTTTATTGGTTATTGCTGCCGAATATATGATAGCACCGAGCGAGTCGAAAGCTGTGATAGGTGAAATTCGAGGAGATGTTGGTTTTTCTACCATTCTGAAGATTTATTGGTGTTCTTCTTGCTGGTATCGTCATCAATAATTTAAGATTACGCAACTAGCCTTTCTGATATCAATGGAGCGAATTCAAGCTTAAGTCCTAATGCCATCATGTGATACATGAGAACGACCACCTGTGGACAATTGACTTGGATCACTCTGGCTCTAAAGAAGAGGAAGACGTCGAAACGTTAGCCAAACAAATATTACATTAATCATTAGAGAATGTGCTGATTAATTGTGCGAAGGCTGAAGGAAAGTCTACCTTTGAAATATAACTTGTGAGAGTTGTCATTGTCCAATAATATTTCCCAACCACGTTGATATAAGGCTCTCGCTTAATGTTACGGTATTACATTGTTATATTGGGTTAATCCAGAAATAATGGTCTATTGTAGGCGGTAACTTGAAGGTGCTGCAATTGCTTAGCTCATACGTAATTTTCTTAATCGAAATAAGAACGAATCAGCGGTACACATTCTTGTCAGCAACAGGTAAGTTTATTTTTTCTATGACCTAAAATTCAGAAATTCCAGAAACGATTGATGTTCCGTAGAGAGTTTTGGCAACGATTTGTTTGCTAGAGATTTTTCCTCCAAAGTTGAGGTTGGTGAAAAAGTAGTAGTCTGCCAGGATTACGTCCGTTCAGTAGGATCAACAGGATGGTTGAGGCGAGGTTCCGTAGCTCAGTTTGCTCAACTTCTCCACCCTTGCCTATCCGAAACGTTTGCTAGGTGCGTTTTCATGAAGAATGATAATACCTCCTCTTCTAAGCAATCCTGGCTACATATTGCGCATTTTTTTCGCCAAGTTTCGTCAGCTTCGCTTCAGTAGTTTTCGTTGCGACAGTTTCGCCAGAATTCGAAAAATTATCAAGGATAAGATCGCACGGATACTTTTGAATCGTGTCGGTAATGTTCTCTGGTGCAGATTCGGATTGTTCAGAAGCTTCATCTTGGTCCAAGTACTGAGCTGTACAACTCGGTTATCATGTAGGCATCACTTTTCATCGAATATCACAATCGATCATTTTGTGAAGTAAAAGAAGCGCAAGCAGGTTTCGTAACGATGATCTCATCATTCTTGTATTTTCTAGAGGACTCAGTTACCCAATTTCTGAAGAGATGTACAGTTCTCGTACAGTTCCGATAAGTATTGAAACATTCTAAACAATAGTGCTTTCCACAGTGGATGCATTTTGTATAAACATGCGTAGCATGTTTTGCAGCCTATCTGCAGTTGCAGTGCTTTGATATCATTCTGCAGCCTCGTGTACTTTTTTCCTGCATTGTCAATGCACTAGCACTGATTTCTTCAAAGGAATGAAGCAGTTGGAGGAGTGAGCGCTGCAACTTCCAACATAACGTAAGTAGGCGTTCACGTTGAAGTCGAGCAGCGCGCTTTTCATCACCTCGATATTGCTGGTCTCTCATGGCTTCATTAAACATGCCTAAATGAGCAGGCAGAAGAAAATCTCTGGGTAGAGTCACCTGTTTCTACTGTTATCTTGTTGACTCGGGGAGAAATTCCGCCATGAATTAAGAACAGCATCACAATGCAGTTTGTCTTAGTATTTCTCTTCAGCACCACTATGCCAGTCCTGTTTTGTTCTGCTGTCCAATGCCCTCTCTTTGGTTTCAGGTTGCTTTAGATTGCTTAGTAAGTCGTTTCCTTGTTTTCCACAAGTGCCGATAAGATGAATCTGCAGCGTAGCAGTTGCCCAACAAGGACTTGTACGAACTATGGAAATCGAGATGTGTTCCTTCATTCAGCACATCGTAGGCAGGCTTCGTAAATAAATAAATCCCTTCATCTTTAGCTTTGGATAGGTCACTGCGGCGATAAATAAAATTCTATAAGTACAGCCACTTTTGAATACAATTTGGTTAGCTTAAGCCCATATTTACGCATTACCGATCTCTACTTTAATTCGTTCTTGCCCGAAAGCAATTGTGATATGTATTCTTTCTTTGATGAGCTTACACGAGGTTGATAATGATGTTTGTTTTCGGCTAACGTTTCGACGTTTTCGTCTCCCTCAGAGCCGATGATCCGAGTCGATGGTCCTCGCATGTTATTCGTCTCGACGTGGCAGCTTCGCCTTCGTGTCGAGTCAGGTCTTCTTCAGTGAGCCATATCCTCGAATGAGGCGTCCTAACTCAGTGATGCCCTTTTATACACGATGCTGATGTGATAGTTCGCCACATCCCTTATCGATACGATGCCCTTTGATAAAAAAGATTTGTTAGATCATAAAAAAGGATAAAGCTCTCGGCGTTGATCAACTCCTGAGGGCTACGCCATGCATTCAACTTCATTAAGTATTGTTGGAGGTAATTGAATGCATATCTGCCTTTATAAATGACTCGCGGTGGCCTACCGCTGTATCGAGGCAGTGCTGCTATCCTCCCAGACAAGTCTGGTACCAATTTGGCGACCCTGGAGGGATGCAGGGCTTGGTTGGTCATGGGCGTCGGGATGGATTCCATGTGGGTGTTGCAGCGCGCCTCCGACCGCTGCGCCACGTTTGCCCTTTGTTAGACCATAGGCATTACGTATTCACTGGGCATCGACTAACAGCGAAATAAGGTATTTCGTTACAAGCGTTACTGAGAATAGATTCTTAAATTTTTCAGAAATAGAAGAAAACAATAAGTCATTTATGACTAAAAAATCGCCAAAAATAGTTCATTTTTCGAAACTAAAATTCTGATTTGAACTAATTTGGAAGCACGAAGGAAACAGAAAAATCACAGCTAGTCAGCTTTTTCCACCAATTTTTCTCTATTACCTGCTGAATAGATAAAATTAACTGCCAGAATTTGTTAAGAGCGCTCTTTCAACAATTCGATCCGAAAGAAACTATTGCATTTACAGCACTACTAATCAAATGCTGTGAACATATAAGGATTTTTACAAACAATGTTAAGGTTCAAACAGTTTTACAACAAGGAGAAGCATTTATTCACCATTTTTAGGACAATGCTTTCATGTTGTACTGGAGTTTGACTTCTCGTTACTAGCATTACAGTCCTGTAACAGCATATCCAAGCAGTGCGATGAGCATATAGCTTTGTCGTTCACGTATTGAGAGAATTGATTTGGCTAAACAAGTTTACTGAAAAGAACTAGAGTATTATTGTATATTTTTAACATTAATCTTAGCAAAAACCAAACCTTGGTTTGCTATTTTTTTATTACTTAATCAAAAATCACAGTAAGCAATCTACTGTCGTGTTGTGGGCGATGCGAACAACTGATACGGTAATGTAGCGCTTCACTGGAAAGCGGTGCGTTTTTTTTCCATGATATGGCTTTATCTAGTTCTAATTATATCTAGTTTAAAATTTTAATATAGATGTGGTAATAACGAAAAGGAACTGATCTCGACAAAATTTACTTGTTGTTCGATCATTCCACACCATGAACACAACTGCATACCGGAACGCATCTTCTTCTCAACAAATCGAGCCCCAAAAATCACCTCAGAACCACGTGGACGCCATTGTGTCAGGATATATCGATCGAAATCCAACAAAATCCAGGTTCGATTGCCTAAACGAAAGCACATGTGCAACTTAACAAGTGTTTTTTTTGGTGGACTGAACGAGGTTACGCGCCTCAATTTTTAAACATTCGCCTCATTTTTTCACTTAAAGATATTAATTATATGAAGAATACGCGTCTTTTTAGATATGCAAACGAAAAAAAGTCGGTAATGGCGCATTGAGTAATACTGCTTTTAGTTTTCGCTGTTTAACCCATATATTGGGAGCGGAAGATAGTAAGATAATGCAGTGGTCAGTGATGCCGTCGATCAGGAAACAATAGTGCCAGTTCGACCCCGTTCTGAGCACTCTTCTCTAGTCCACCTGAGAACACCTTAGGCTGGGTATGTCCATGATTACAAGAGGAATCGACTAGACCATCGTTCTACGATATTCATTAGGAACACGAAATCCTCGGGTAGCAGTCAAAACTGCTTGCGAAATGTTCGAAAGCCAATGTAGACGATGAATGCAAGGCATGCAAATCAAACACAAGAACTGGTGGGAGCTGCACAGAGGAGGCGATGACAGGTCATGCAGAATAAATGTAAAAATAAAAAACCTGTGCATTAAGTTGGAGCTCAAAAATGGAGTTGAAAAGCAATTAGCTATACTTATAATCGTCGTACAAGCAAAAAATTGATCAATTCTACGACTTTTCTGTGTTTTGATACTCTATGGCAACATTAGCACATCGGTAACTTTTTCAGCGAATTTTAATCCCGTGATTATTTTATAGTACACAAAAAGTGTTTAAGTACCAGCCTAACGCTTTCACTGCATAATATCTGCTCACATTAACAGTTTTTGTACTTACATTTTCTTTCTTCTTATCAAAGCCAAGATATTTTTATGTGAAGTTGTTTTCACACACCCCTATAAAATTCCTGGAATAGTACCACACGATCGTCCGGCTGCCATTCTGGATCAGTTTCGAAACGAATCGATTTACGTTCTTTCCTTTCATCCATCCAACGTTTTTGAAGCATACACAGCACTCTCATGAAAACGATATAAGCATATATTTGCCCTGAATAAGAATACGAAAAATTACTGGAGATAACTCGGTGGGTTTCTATACCGGTAAGAGATATTAGTGAATGCATCAACACAGTATGAATTGGAACACTTATTTTTTTTTTGTAGACAAGACTGAAGAGCACCAACTTGGCTGTAATATTAGCTATCTAATTATATGACACAACAGTTAGATTGCAATGTACCTTATTATAAAACAACTGAATTCTAACTTTTTCCATAAATGAATCGTTTTGCGTGACGAAAATGTTACGTTTTCTCTTATCACTTATGGGGGTTTGATGATGTTTTAGTTGGTTTGAAGTGATCCGTTGAGAAACGGGCAAAACACAGTGTTCATCTTCTTGTTCATGTGCTTTTCAAAAATCAAAGACTCAGCACTCTGTCTTGAGTGAGAACCACTGGATAAAATATATTACAACCATGCGGCAGTTTTCCTCTTTACATAATTATTAATGGATAGAAATCAGAATAGTGCAACATGTAACAAATATATGTTTTTGGTGGACTTACAACTCCTTTTCAGCGTCGCTTTTCAGGCGGCCTTGTCTTTTTTGCCACTAGTCCATATTTTTGCTGTTGTACATTTCCAAATAACCGTTTAAAAAGAATTGGTTCTGAGTCTTAAGCCCAAAAGGTTCATGGAATTCGGGGATTATGCTAGCAACGATCAGATACAACTGTCTAAGTGCTCCATTGCTATTGACTATCATCCTCGCGTTTTTTTGTTTGTACTTCCATAGGTTAGTGAAAAAATACATTAAGTAATAAATTGGTTTGATCTGACACTCTCTGCAAAATAAACTCTTCTCCTAGTCCATGGTCGACAAATTTCTACCTGTCCTCTCTTGGAGGGTAAAAACACCCCCCTGATACATTATTAGACCACCTCGAATTATTGTACGGGCTAAATAAGCATTATACTACCTTTACGCTGGTGCAAGTGGAATCGAAAGCATGATGAATCCCTAACGGACTGGATAACACCAATAGAATTACCTCTTTATAGAGCAATACGAAAGTTAAACGAAACTTATTTGAACTCACCATTCGCTACTCGATATGTAGCTTCGTTTGGCTGTCCGAATATACGAGTTAGCGCCGGTTCCATTTCCTTGTCGAAAAATGGATTCGCTATTTTTTGTGATGAGCACAACGCCAGTAACGTTTGGCTGATCAGCGGATATGTAACGATGGTGTCTATATCCTTGATGAACTGAAATGAATCATCTTCTAAATAAGGCATCTTCACATCACTACGATTCACCACTACCGCCACTATCACCTGTAATTGCACTACTGCTTAGTCAAGTGATGCTAAACCTGTTTTGCAAATGTTAAAAGCTTATAGAGAACAATTTTTTTGGGAAAAAGTTGATTTCATGATGAACAGAACAAGTACTTGACCAGTCAACAGAAAAGAATGGAATATTGGGGCCTCAACTGCCTCAAAGCGCGCCATGTGTACAAATCCATTAACAATTGTAAGGATTAAGAAATACTTATTTGGCTTATAACAAGAATCCGTGAGGTCATTGTTTACTCTTTCCACATAAGTCTGGAATCAATTTGACCAAGGAACTACAAGTTTGATTCCACGACGGCACATTTAACACGGCTAATAGTAGATTTCATTTGGAGAAGAGCTTTGTAAGAAGACCTACACCGGCAGATGCAGGAAAACCGACAGAGGTAGTACAAAAAAACCAATTTGAAGAAACGCTGTTGGATCTTGTTCGAGTATAATGACTCACCGTCATCTTTGAAGAATGAAGATAGGATCCTGACCGAGGGTATCCGTGGTGGGGAACGAACGCTCTATTGTGCTTTCCGGGGAGTTACGCGTTCACCATCACACCATGCGTGACCTTCGTTTAGTAGCCTATCTCTCAGATAGTTCTCTCGATCAGTGCCGTCAGCAATCATCCGTCAGCGGGATTGATCTGTAGAGCCTAAATCGGTATTGAACCCAGTTAAGCCGAGGGTTTGATCTGGGAAGCCTAAATCGTTGGTGCCGTTGACAGGTGGTTGCTGATGGCAAAAAAATCGATAGAACTAGCTGTGAGACAGGCGAAACGAAGGACTCGCATGGTATGGTGGTGAACGTGTTACTCCCCGGAAAGGACAATAGCGCGTTCGTTCTCTACCGCAAACGCCTGCGGTCCGGAGTTTTGCAAATATCTCAGCGTTATAGTAGTTATATTTCGCAAAATACCCTCCGTTGAAAAGAATAGGCAGTAAATAAAAAGGTTAAAAAGATAGGAACGTTTAAACTTCCGGTTATGATATGGAATTTATAATGCAAACGTTCCAGCCCAACCTTAACCGTTCCACAATCCCCATCACAGACCGTGAAATCTGCGCTGAAGAAAAAAATTGAAAAAAAATAGAGTTCTGGCGTCGGAGGTTCGAGTTACAACAGAGAGCGTGAAAAGAGCCACAACTCCATGAACGGATGGTAGTATAGTCGACTCGCTTCGTGCAGAAGGCTATAAATTACATGCACTTCTCAGGACTTACATAAAATCTTATTTCTAAATCGAGAGAATCTCAGCCCTCTGCAGAAAGTCGCACACAGTCATGCCGTTTAAGAAAGGCGACCGGAAGGATTTTCGTGACTATACTACGATATGCCTGTGGAGTATACTCTGCAAGTTGTTTCCGAAAATTACTCTACTACGCATAACAGGGTCATTGGTTGAGGAAAATCTATTTGGGTACGCACGATTACAACACGGATTCTGCTGTATTGATCATATCTAAACTTTATCAAGGGTTAGTGGGGATTGCCATCCGCCCCTTATTCTAATCTTTTTAGCTAGGAAAAAGTGTTCGTCTGCGTCGAAACCAATTCATCCTTTCAACAACGCTCTTAGACCAGATTGAAGTCGCGACTGTTGTTGTAAATGCACCATAAAAATACAGCACTTCCATCTACCCTTAGCATCCACGTGGAATGTTGCTCAAAGCGACCCCATTTTTGCCAAAGAAATTGACCGTCCTATTTTACTGCATAATGAAGCCAATCAATTTGAACGAGAGGAGCACACGCATCAGTGGAAAAGTTTTAGAAAACCTCTTCCTTACTAAAGATACGGTTAGATTTAAAAGAATTGAAATGAAGCACACATGATGCTCCAAGAGCTCAATAAAGAGGAATAAATTATTTGATTGCGTATAATTTAGAGGAAAAACCTAATTAATGAAAAACTCGTGGAGCAAAGGTGAGAAAGCTAAATTGAATGGTTTCCTGATTACAGAGACCACCTCGAACATTCACCCTTAGACGCTTAGTGAACATGGGGAATAACATGACAAAGGGATTAAATAGAAGAAAAGAAGCACCATGGAGCGTATTCGGGCTTCTCAGAGAGGATGGCGATCAACTAATGGAACCAAAAATTCGCGTTCAGTTCTTCCATCTAAAGGTCAACTTAAAGTTACTTGAATTAAATAACAATTTCGTGTTTACTTCTCAAGAACGCAATGATCAGTGCCACAATACCGATGTCGGTCCAAGGATTTGCTATCCGTTTAATTCAAAACTCAGAAAAATACACATCGATAGTTAAATACAGAAAAGGTGAGAATACCTTGCGAAGAATTGACGGTATATGGGCTAGAACAACAGTGAAGTAAACCTTTGCAAGACGAAAGCGTCCTCTATGATGAGCACAAGACGGACGGAAGTGTTCCCAGCTACTACCAAGCAGCTCTATTCGCTGTCTTCGAATCGGATTGTGAAGCACGAAATGGCATTCGTGGACGTCATCTGGCTTCAGCCGGGTCATAATGGTAGGTGACGATTGTGCGAGAAGGACACAAATGGAAAGTGTTCCTGAACCACCCATGATTCGTGCATTAGCCATTTCAAATATGAGATAAGTAGTGTTTTTGTTTTGCTACTCGCTATGTGCTAGCTAACATAATACCGATTGCTGCAAGAAGAATTATCCGTTGAAAAACAAATTATTGTCAACGGATAGCCGTATCAGCAATGACCATCCTGTATAAAAGAGAGCTTCCGGTGAGGTTGCCTCATTCGAGAGATGAGAGACACTGAGGAAGATCCGACTCGCTATGACGACGGAGACACCACGTCGAGAAAATGTAGAACTGTGGACATCGATTCGGATCATCGGCTCAGAGGAAAGCGCCGAAACGTGGGTAAAGTAAAAATCTTTATTAAGCTCGTGTTGGTTTAACAATTGAAGAAGGTTTAAAATTTACGCTCTAGCATGGTTCACTACTTGGTACCGCTGGTTGTTCAACTTTCTGGCATCGTTACTTATGGAGCAGAACCTTAAAGTTTATAAACACAACCTAACCGAAAGAAGAACTCCTAATTTGACAGACAATTTATCGAAAAAGGTAACTATCCATATGAATTACAGATCGAGGGAATCTCTCCATCATTGTATGACTTGTGCCTGTGCAATAGCAATATGGTGCTAGAGCCTTGATAATTCAGAAAACGCACCACTCCACTACTATTAAAAATTCATATTTATTCTCGAAACTACCTGTTGAGCAAGAGGCCTTTCACTTTTCTCTTCTGCCAAATATCGGTGAATACAAATGAAAGCATCGTCAGTGTGGAATAATGTTTCATCGTCATTTTGAACATAATTCACAACATAACCTCGCACTGAAATCACCAGTCGGGACCACCAAAGACGTTCGAGCGATGAGTGCATCTATAAAAAACTTGAACAATTTCGTATGCGAACATGAAAATATAACAGAATAGGCAATGTTGGTGGAACAGTGAGAAACGTATTCATAAAGCTGCAAAAAAACGGAAAAAAAAGGCGTGCAAATAAACCAATAGATTTTCTCAGAACGTCAGAAGTGTTTGTTAGAAAGCACTGTTGAGCTCACCTGTGTAAAGCACTCAACATCAATTGGAACAGAATTAGGTTTAGTGTTCAGATGTGAATCCTTCGGAAACAATTCCATATCTTCCATGGACACCGTCAATATCATTGTCGTTTGCAAGAAACACCTAAGACGTGGATGATAAACTTTTACATGTGAAAAAAGTACCTAACGATAGCAGTGTATAATAAGAGGAATCTAGACATTATGTGACATTTAGAAAATGTTTAACAGGTACTACATAAGCGGCTGATGCTTCTTCCAAGCAAGGACTAGAAAAGCAGCTATGATAACCAAAAAGTATATTTTCTACGTCCGTGGTTCTTTTCAACATCGAAAATCTGCTAAAAAATGCAGTCGTTTTTAAAACTAATATTTCGTTTCGATGTGATTCCCTTCAGTAATACGAAGGTGTTCCGGAAGAAATAAATCAGTAAAAGTTTAAGAAATACAAGAAACATCTCAAGGTTTCAAGGTGAGACAAATTGGTTGTGGTGTGACTGTCGTGCAACGCAACGACTTATGATCGAGATGGAATTAGAATAACCCTCCGAAGACTGAAATTGACGTGACTGTGATCAATAGGAAGAAAGTAGTGATTAAACAAGATGCAGGCTCAGAACAGGTTTGTTAGGGCCTCGTCGAGTCGGCAGTTAGTCAACCAATGCACACTGCCTGGTAAACCATTGTAGTTTTCTCCGTAAGTACTCATAAGAAAGAAGGAGATCGAGAAAGTGAAAGCGAGTAAAGTGGCCACTCATGCCTCATATGTTGTTCTCCTTCTGTGAGATCGCAATGAAATGGCAATGGATTTAGTTGGAAGAGTAAATAAGTTATGAAGGAAAAAATAACTTTTATCTCAATGGTGACGGCTGTTGGCGCAATTGTGTTCAGCATTCAGAAATAATGTGTCAATCTTTCAAAATTTTACCCCTTAGGCTTTCTTGCTCCAAAACCATCAAAATAACTTTTTTATATTACCTCTTCGATGGAAATAATTTCGAACATATTTGATGAAAAAGTAAAAATGCTTTTCCTAAGAGGAAAAGTGTGTGTTTATCGTTCAGATAACTTCATGCGCAACGCTTATTCTTCTACTGATTGTTGAATGACTCGAGCGGGAGCTGGTGTGTCTCCCATTTGTCCCTCTTATGCTTATGTGTGACGCGGCGTCGGTGAGTATCATTCTTCCATCGCTAGATGAGCTAAGAAGCCTTATAATTACACGGATCATCTTCTTGTTATGCTTAGGCATCCTGTGAGACCAACACGTTAATTTGTGATGTCGGTGCATTGTTATTAAGACGCATCATATGTCTTACTCACCTGATTTTCGACGCTTTGACCTTGCACAGCAGCGTCACCAGTATCTGCTCGACGATATAGGCCGCAGTTTCAGACTCCTTCACTGGTTTTTATGATATGCGGTACCTTTACCATTATACTTTCCATGAAGCACTCAACAGCACTGAATTGTCGTTTCTCCAACTTCCGTAGAGGATGGGATCCGTCGCATGCGCTGGGACAGAAAGAGTCTCAAACTCGAAAAGATGAATGCGTTGTTGCCCGTTCCTTATAGTCTTGACCAATTCCTCTATGCTTTTGCAAACTACTCAAGCTCCTCACTCCCTTCCATTCTTTTCTGGAATTATGTCATTGGTCGTACTCACCTCCCAATCAAGATATTCATATTTAGAGCATTCGAAATATTTTTTCTAGCTTAATACGAATAGTGAATCCGAAAAGAATCTGATTTTCATGGGAATATCGCTTTCTTGAAATTCATATGCGCACTGGTTTTTGTTCTGCAAATGTTGCTGCGGAGGTTTGCAAATCTGGACGTAATTCGATGACACTCAGCTGCTAGTGCGACTCAACAGCACTAAGTCACCTTAGGTGCTTCCTACGGCAAATATCTCTTTGTCTTGGATTTTCAATATCGGCCGGTAGGACTGTCCTAATTCTCCTCGATAACTTTTTTGGAAAGTTGGCGTTATTGAATCACAGTGCTCAGAACCATGTTCGAGAACCTTCTCGAGTTGGTGCTGGCTGCAAAATACCAAGCAATAAAAACAAGGTCACCAAGCAGTACAACTGATGCGTACCGTCTTACCTGTTTTTACACTGCTATTATCTATTGTCTTATTAGTTTGTTCGGAAATTGAAAGCAGATTGCAACTTGAATGTATAAAGTAGTATATATCTCAGCTCATAATAAAGAGAAATGTTTGTTTACACCAAATGCATAAACTTCAGGTCTTTTAAAGGAGATGATTTCTAACTCGTATATAATGCTGAGATATTTGCAAAACTCCGGACCGCAGGTGTATGCGGTGGGGAACGAAAGCGCGCTATTGTCCTTACCGGGGAGTAGCGCACTTCACCACCACATCATCCGGGTCCTTCATTTTGCCTGTCTCTCAGCTAGTTCTATCGATTTTTTGCCATCAGCAATCACCCGGAAATGATTTCGTTTAAGCCAGTTTCGATCTAGGCGATGTTTTGGAGCAATCCTTGCACAGAATGTTGTTGAGTTAATTGGGAAGTGATAATCGATAGGCAAAAGGTCACTCGGGTGTGGTCGGTGAGGTAGAGTTTCGCACTCCACCTCCTTCAATCTTAGAGCCGTCGACAGTGCTGCCATGTGTTGTCAATTCGAACGATATTCGTTAGTCGAGCTTTTATGACTTTGAACTATTCTTTAGATCCTCAGAAATAGTGGAGTTGATTGTAAGTTCTCCTAAAGTTCTTCAACACGGTTCCTGCTAATTGTGATTGACTATTAATTCATAAAAGAAAGGTTGCCGCAATTGCTATTTTGACCTCTGAAATTTTAACCTTTACTTATTTGCTGACTTGGGCACTTACATGGCATGTCTTCACTGGTCGTGCGGACACCATCATAATTTCCGTTGTCCAGAGATTTTCTAGTTTAGTCATTGCGGTTCCCTGAATTCTTGAGGTTAGTCCAGCGGAAGCCTTCCTCACGTCGTCTCCACCACAGGTAGTCGTCGCCCTTTTGGACCATTTTTGCCACCGTTTTTGATTCCAGCCTTTAAACTTTGCAAAGACATCTTCTATTTCATAAATAGTGTTCCGCGGACGTTCCTCACATGAGAGATTTCAAGCCGGTTAGTCGTAAGGTTACGTGAGGCGACCCTTGGTGGCGGATAGGGGGTTAATCGCTGACCAAAGCCGACCATGTGTTTTCCTGGGACGCAGGTGAATCCAGGAGATGGATACCTGTTTCTGCTGCGTCGATATGGCGCATACTTGCTGTATTTAAGAGGCGTATTTGCGCACGTGTGTGTGGGCGCGTCCAAGTTTATACGGATTCTATTCTACGAGACACTTCGGCCGAAAGCCTACAATAAAGTGAAGGAAAAATATATGGTAGGCTGTTGTGAGTCGCCTCTAAAAAATAAGCTCCATGCCCACTCTGGGAGAGACTGTCAAAATGCTTCACGCAGTAAAAGAAACGGGCGTTATTTTCCTTATCCCAAAAGAGCCCCAAATCGGTAGCGTGGGCTAGGATGAGTACGGAGAGGCTGCTAAAATCTCAAGGCCAATGGAAGTTACCTAGATCACGAAGAACTAAGACGACGATCAGTACTTACAGTGCACGTACCTTTGCATTCGAGTATTCGATAGAAGTCCTGATCATGCAAGCAAAAAAGATAAAGTACGGCGTCATCGGCCTGGCCAAGACGAGACGACGCCACCCATTCAACGCCGTCTATGACACCGGAGAAGAACTGCTCCTCAGAACATGCGGCAGTAGGGGACTCGGCGACGTCGGCGTTCTCGTCAACACGAGTTTGTCCGTGAACATCGATTCATTCGAGCAACTTGCAACCCGGATTGGACGTTTACGATTGAAGAACTGTGGATCAGTACCGGGTTTGACAATTTACAGTTTACGCGACATCAAATTGTGACGAAAAGGTGTAGAAACAATTTACATGAACTTGGAGAGGCTGTACACAGAAGACAATACATGCTTCAAGGTCATCAGTGGAGATTTCAACACCAAGATTGGACCAAGAACAGCGTCTGAAGAACGCCATATCGGGACCCATGGATTAGAATGGAACGAGCAGGGTGAACGGCTGTCTGAGTGTGCCATGAAGACAAAGACCATTCATGACAACTAGTAATTTCCAAAAGCTCCGCTATCAACGCTGGACATGGAAGTCTGCCAGTGGAGAGTGGCATAGCGAAACAGACCACATCATAGTAATAAATAGAACGTTTTGCCTAACCGATGCCGCTGTTGTCTCAAAACTCTACGCGGAATCAGATCATCTCCTCTTTCGTGCAAGATTCTGTTTTTCGCGGAAAGGGTAAAAAGCCGCTAAATTCAAAAAGCGAGGTCCCAGAACCACCATTAACTGAGACGTATTCAACCCATTAGTCGGTTGTTAGAAAGATACCGTTGTCGATAACATCGACGAGGAATACGATCAGCTACATCTTCACGTTTGCGCTACGAAAGCTGATATTTCGAACGCCACAAGAACGCGTTTGTCTCCAGAAAAACTCGAGCTGGTACGCCAGCATGGAATCACACCAGCTGCAGGCAACCGCGAACTGTCTGGGTTTGCAAAAAATGCGGGCAGGCGATAAAAGAGGATCTTAAAGCGAGAAGAGTAACAGTAATGGTCGAAGCTGCAGAGGCTGGGAAAAGCATTCGCAAAGCCCACCGAAGCCTCGCCAATTACAAAACCAAAATGCATTCCGACGCTCAGATGGGCCAGTTACAGCGTCCAGAAAGGCAATGGAGAAAATCATTCACGAGTGCTACTCGGATCTCTTCGATAGCCACGTCCACCTTCCCTCATATGAAATAAAGGAGGATGGATATGTTGCACCACCGGCTCTCACTTCCGAAATCCGACATGCTATTTTGTCGCTGAAAAATCGAACAGTACCAGGTCCGGTCAGAATATGATCTAAATACCTGAACAACCTTTGGTAAACATACTGGCTCGCCTCTTCACACGTTACTTGCCTAAATGGAAGGCCACTAGTCAATGGAAGTCCAGCAAGACCACGCTAATGTTCAAGAAGGGGACCTCCACGATATCTACAACTATCACCCAATCTGC